GATTTTCTTTCCTTTCTTCTCCATTAGCGGTCCATCTCCCATCTCCACTTTTCTATTTGAGTGGGAACAACCCATCAATTTAATCCTGATTCTTGCCTTCAAAGGGGAGAAGTTGCAAAATTTTGGGAAAAGTGCGAACGCAACGGTTGACCCTACCCCAAACCCTGTTCTGGTACGTTTAATAGTCGACAGTCAAACAAGTTACCCTTGTGGTCAATATTTCCACGTCGTTAAGATTTCTGAAGCCCTTTTCTCGGATAGTCAATGTCAGAAAGGTCGGCCAAGCATTGTAAAGGATCCCTGCGTCTATCCATCACCACAAGTGCATTCGCCCATCAAAGAACTCTCATCTGCGTTCACTTGTTGACGAAACTTCTTCCTCTCCATTAGATTTTCTTTCGCTTTCTAAATTCATAGAACCTTCAGCATGTCTGATTTGAGTCAAAAATATCTTCCCATATCCGATACTTCATAAAACCGTCCCGGGAACTCCGATAACTCATGCGGCGAAGTTACCAACATCCGAGCGCTGTACCCGCGAACAATATTTGCCTATCACTCCAAGCAGGTTATTTCATAACCAACCACTCGAAGAGTCGCGTCGTTCGCAATCTATCGCCCTCTTCGTAGCGACCAAAAGATAAGCTTTATGAGCCGATGATTGCGCGCTACCGTTATCGCAGCGGCGACGGCGGGTGGTGGCGTGTGCGGACGACGCCACTCTGCGTCTCTGCACCACCGCTCTCGACGCCTGGCGCCTTTGCAGCCGGGAAGCCGGACGGGGCGTGTGTCTGCGCCTCTGTGAACCACACACTCTCTCCCCGACAGTGTCCGCTTCTCTGGCGTGCGCGTCGATCGTTGCATCGGGCCAATTCTCGTACAGCGCAAGCTCCGATTATTGATCGTCTGGGCGGTATCACAGGCTCGGAGTGTCTCTCGCTCAGCTCGCGCTCTCTGCCTCTTCATTTCATTCTCTTTTTTTTCCTCCTGACGTTTCCATCATCCTAACGAAATTCACCGACTGTGGCTGCGGCTGACACACATCGACTCTTGCAGCTTCTGTGAGCGGCGTGACCGTGTTTACGGCCGGCCGACGTCGTCGTCGGGGCCGCACGTCCGATTTTTCAGCGTCAATTGTCTGTGTGCGTGTGATGAGTGTGTCGCCTCTGCTGCGATGTTTCGCCGACGTACACATATACATGCATATCCATTAAAACTATCACTTACGCCCTAATTGTCTTCACCACTGAATCATTCCTTTTATGAATGAATGCCTTCTATTTCTCGAAACTGCTCGTGATAACCTCTTCCGTAACAAAACCATGTCATTTTAATCTTAGATAGTTGTTTTGCGAGTGATAGTGAGTTAGTGGAAGGTGGGACCATTTGCAAAATATGGTATGAGTAATTCTGATTAGCAAGAATGGTGCTATACAAGTAGGGTGGGCACGCCGCATTTTTTGAACAGAAATGTATGTAAGTGGGACTGCTGCCCGCTACTATACTGTCACGAGAATCGGGGAATTCGTGAGCCAGGGGAGTGTAGCCAATCTAGGAGGACATGCGTGAAAAGTTGAGCGTGCCCACCCCACTGGTATAGCACCGCAAGGAATTATTGATCTGTATTCTCTCTTGACATCTCATTCTCAGATCTTGAAGAAAAAGTTGCACGTTTTTTCTTGTTGTGATGGGGTGGGAAGAGAAGGAGTTAAACACTTTGTAGGACGCATGGTAAAGTCTGATGTTAGGTGGAGAGCAATCTATACCCCTCCATCTGCTTCCCAATCTCCGTGGTGTCAGTGCACAAAGAGCGTCAGTGAATCGAATTCCCATTCTGGTTCATAAATGTTGCCATCTCGAGTGCTTTGCTTGATGGCGGGGCTGTTATGTTGTAATTTTAGGAAATGAGGTGGCGCTCATCCGGTAAGGGGGGGGCATAGCGATCTAGAGCATTTCAAACCATGGAAAGCATATTATTTTATTGTAGACGTTCAGGACTAAGCCATTAGAAGGGAAGGAGCCCCGGGTCCGTGAGCAATCTTGGTTTTCCCCGGGGGACTTCCCCTCCTAGGCTTAGTCCTGACCTGCTGACTAGGTGAATATTACTTTTCGTAGACGTTAATGTCATCTAGTACAAGAATACATACATTACACAAAACACCTGAAGAAATAACATAGGAAAAAGCTGATAGCAGCTCGTAACTTTAAAGGACTCCT